CATCTAAGGACGATAACCTACATCACTGATCACCGTCTGCTTCGCGCGCGCCTCCGCGATTACGTCTTCGCAGCTGGTATCTCTTCGGTGAGTTGGTTCACCCTGGTCTGCAGTTCCTCTACTGATGCAGCATCCCTGTTCACCAGCGACTGCAACGTGGCCAGTGGTTCCGGGGCAGCTCCCGGGCCAGACGCACCACCTCCTCTTTGCCGGAGTACTTACTGTTAGGAGGTGCAGAATGATAGGGCAAAATGGTGGACAAAACCATGCTGAAATCAAGCAAAACACATAAGTCCAGCGGCTGTGGAAACGAATCCGCAGAGTTTGGCCAATTCAGTTTGTTTATGACTACAGCAAACAAGTTTTGTAATATGACAGCCGCCCACAATCATTTGTGGTGCGGAATATCGTTTGGCGCAAGCAGGCCTAGGATAATATCAAGCGTTTCTGCGTCCTAAATGTGTGCGAATGTTCATGTGCTTTGCACATCAAGAAAGTATCATTCAGGGTTAACGCCCATTAACGTGAAATATTCCGATCGAGTTCCAAATGTATTCACACCACTAACATGCTACAAATAGCATAAGACTGAAGGTGATGAATATTATGCAGCATATCACATTTGGGCTCTTAAGGAGTACACCCAGCCGGAGAAATCACATCCCAATATTCAGCTTGCAAAGATTTTGACCTTCTCAGTTGCACTGTTTATTATGTTAGGGTAGCATGCATTCTACATGGAGTTTCATCGTCACGCGAGTCACCATCCTGCCGCCTTCCTCTTTGTTCGCAGGAATAGGCTAAGCTATATACTTTCGTTTTCATGAGAGTCGAGCTTGTATGATTTCCAGTATTTTCTGTAGTCTCTGTTGCGCAGAACGAAGCTTAACAAGCGCTGTTGTTTTTTTTCTGAAACTAATGAATATTATATAAACTGTCACATCAGATTAGATGAATCTGGTTGATCCAGAAGCGGATAGCTGGGAAGGCGTTTGATGCAAGCTAGAAGATCGCTTAGTTGTTGATGTTGAGACACGGCTTCACAAGCTTACTTGGAAACATTCTTGTGGTTGATGTGGGTTGCCATGGCATCACTTTCATAATGTGATGACGACAAATCAGCCTAATAACTGACATCTTGCAGTGGCATTTCCAACGAAATCATAAAAGTGGAATCCAGACTTTCTTTTTATGCGCCCTCCTGTATGACGCTCGCCGGTTGATACACCTCCAAAAATGTTCTGCGATGGACTGTGTATCGTAAAATTGTTTCTTCTATGATATAATGAACGTTGATCCGAGGTTGCTACTGATGAAACGGGAATCAGCAAATGCTCAACAAGGCAGACAGCTTAAACTCATTTTGCTACCACGACCTGTGAACGTACAAATAACAATACTCATCCTATATTTTTAACTCGCTACCCAAGATTGTCTAATCCCTCAGTTAAAAAATACAACAACATACCTTCTCGATCTCAGCCAATGGCTGGTTGAAGAGCTTGTAAATTTTCCAATCATTCGAACTGATTAGACCAGCCCATACTGTCTCAGATTCCTCTCGATGACTTTGTGAATCGAGAGTTCTCATTCTAATTAATCTTACCGAACTCTGCAACGACGGACGGAATAGAAACCGGTACCTTTTCTTCAAAATAATTCTTCTTGGGATAATCTCTAGAACCTTGTCTAATCAACCAGTGTGACAAGCCACAAATCTACACTGCACGTCAACTCGAACCATGTTGTCCCATAAAATCTCAGGTAACATCCGGTACGTCACACAGAATCCCCACCTCAAAGGGTAGTTTGCCAGGCGGAACTGTGTATTACGTAAACCCGATACACACCAATCTGCGTGCAGGTCACTATTTATGATTGCATTCATTCGACTATTCTGTTGCTCAAGAGCGTACAACGCCAAATTGGGATGAAGCGCTCAGAAGTTTCAGCCTCCTATCAAATTCGGGTAAACTTTGATGTTGTTTGTCCCCTTCTAGTGGATAAAGCATGTCAATAAATAAATAAATGATGACAAGGATGCGACTGTCCACATGGAGTCCCATTTGACTTTACCGTATGTTTATCGGTTCGGCAAGAGGGTGCAGTTCTTTTATTCTAGCCATTTGAATAAAGGTACCCTCTGCGGAAGCTTAGACGAGGCATTCACCATGAAACTTTGCAGTGAGATCATGCTAATCACTCCAACTATCATGTTATGTCCACAGGAATTACTTTCTTCATGTAATGAACGTATTTGTTCCTCCTACGAAATGGAAAAGCAATAGCACCGCGACTAAACTCAGGAACTTTAGGATTTTGTGAGAAATTTTCAACAACCTATTAGCGTAACCGGCTAAGAAGACATAAGAGTAACAAGACCATTACGATGTTTAGGTGGAGTTTGAGGAACTGATTTACACGTACATGTGACAATCCGTAACATGATAAAGGCAAAGTGAATTTCATATTTCACGATAATGTTTACACAAAGCTAAGAAAACCAAAAGCAGAATCCTATTGTCATCGTCCGTAGCATCAGAATACGCACAAATGTCACTGTCGACACGGCCTGGCGTCACCAATTTTGCAAAAGATAAGCGGATTCAAAATGTTGGCTCAGTGATGTAGGTTATCGTCCTTAGATGCTCCTGGCCACCAGCGCTGAGGTGCGTGAATTGTCACACCACAGTGAGGTCCAGTCTCCTCGTGACGGCTCCAAAGGAAATAAAGAATGAATATGAATATGAGGATTCTTCTATCTTGATCAGCTCAAATAGTAAATGTGATAGAAATTCACATTTTTGATGTCAGCGCTTTGAGGAGCTTACCTGATATACATTGCGCGAATTCCGTTGTATGTTCAGAAGCAGACACAGGCGGTCAAGGTAAGTGGTCCGAACATGTAGCACGTCGTGCTTCTCGGCGATATAGAAGGTTCGTGGGCCCACTCACATTGTTTTTAGAAATAACGTGTACTTGGCACACCCAAGCAAATAACTTATTTCACATCTCCGAACATAACATAGACCCTCTGTGGGAAGACAAAAGATTCACGCCCGGTGCGGATTAGAGCCAGGAACTCCAAATGTACTGAAGTAAAACCAAAGTGTGAGTAGTAATATTTTACATCCCCTGACGCATCTTCTTCTGTTTTCCCAGTTGAGGTGTTGAACAGCCTGTTTTCGGAGTAAGCCCCCGTGTGTGAACTAATAATTTTTCCGAAAAGTCTGTAACGTTGTTTTTCTTCTATAGTCGCTTCTTGTTCTCGGTGTCGGATTTCTCATGATTTCCCAAATGCACGTGACTAAATCGGTAGAGTATAGAGCCTATATCGTTATCACAATGGAGTCTGAGATATCCGTAGATATTTATATCGCCTAGGGACGTGTCAATTATGTTTATTTTCGTTAGTCAGTTAATGGATTTCATAATGCACGGGAATCGGCCACAATAACCACTTCAGCAGTCGCAGGAGAACAGGGATGCTGCATCAGTGGAAGAACTGCGGACCAGGGTGGAAAAACTCACCGAACAGCTGGCAGCCGTGAAGACGGAATCGCGGAGGCGCGCTCGAAACAGAGAGTGCTACATGTGTGGCAGGCCTAGCCACAGGAAGACTCAGTGTCCCCGTAAACGATTGCCTGTACACACTAAAACCTTAGAATACTCCTCTTTCCTGGGTGGGTCGCGATTAGCGCACAGACACAAGCTACCATACAAGCCATTGTCGAGGTAGAGGGGAAAAACGAGTTATGTTTGATTGATACCCGAGCAGGCGTATCGCTGAGGCAAAGAGGGAACCAAGCTGAACACAGACCGTGCGCGCTAGCCGTGAGAGCTGTTGGCGGATATCGATTGAAGATTGACGGACTGTCAACGC